TCATTACCATTTTTTGTTAAACCTGGCCAAATTCAGAAAGTTGTAATAACTCCATTTGAATCTCAATCAGGATGATAAAATATCTCTGTATAGGTTAATTAGGCCAGAAAGAACGTACAAAGATGCTGTGTGCCCCTGGGGCCACATATACCAAAGTCTGGGTTGCTGGAAATACCAGTTTGTGGATCTCTGACATGGGCAAACTAGCCTTGAAAAGGAAATACTGTAACCTGAAGTTTGGAATCTTGCTTTTAAAGATGTCTATTTACATATGTACCATGTTTTCTTTTACCATTTAATGTAAATCCTGAATGTCTCAGCTTACTCTCACTAAACTGTTTTTGTGAGTATGAGTAAAAGTGAACACCTCAGGGTTCAGTGTCACAGGGAAGTGGGGAAGGCACTCTGCCTTGCCTGATGTTTACCTAAGCTTGAGGAGGTGGTAATCTATGGAAGATAGGTTCAGTAGGGGAAAGTATGTTGTACAGAACAGAAGATGAGTTTCCTCAGTTTAAGGGACATTTCTCAGAATGACCAACCAAATTACTATAGTAAACTTTTTTAACACTTAAGTAGATTTAGGGTATTGTTTTTACTTCATATTTACATCTTCACATATTGAAATGCAGTAAGCTATGAAAACAGGAGTAGAAAGATCACTAGTAATCAAAGCCTTTATTATTCTATTAATATACAACCAAATGGTCCTTTCCCAACAAAACATAACATCCTTTGTGAGGGCGAAGTCTTTGTTTCTGGTGTATACAACATTCCAGTTGCTAAACTCTTATGGTTGGACTGTTACCATCGCACTAGTAGACAATCACCATTCTCCACAGAATAAAACTGTAATGACTGTAGGTCATTTTCTAATTCAATTTCTCTGCCCGGCATCTAAAATTAGAACAGAATGGGGAGGAGCGAGTAAGACATCTGATAATGTGTATTATACATGCCGCCCTCCAATGGCAGGTAGCTTGAAGAGTCAAAATGCTGTCTCCATTTAGAGTCTGTTATGTATGGCTCATGGTACTATAGAGAACTAAGTTTAGCATAGCTTTTTGTTTTTGCTTAGCAACTTACCTTGGGACTTTCATAGGACAACAGAAGTTCTGACACAGGAACTTTGAGAAGACGTGACAGCAGTCCCTTTACCTTTTGAATTGTCATGGAATCTATCAAAGAAAAGGAAAATCCATTTCTCTCAAATGACGACTATGTGTACAAACAGCTCAGGTGAGGCAGCCATGATCTGTCGTTTCTTAGCGTCAGTGTACCTAAGACACTAAGTGACAAAAGCTTGAGTCATTCGACCAGTTGATTCTTTTGGTAAACTGGGAAATGGAGCCAATGTTTGACCCAAGTGGTCTTGACAGTGAGGTGTCATACCATTTCAGTAGCATTTACTATTTCTTCCTCAATTGGAGTAACCAGAAATAATCATTTCACTGAGGAGGAAAAATATAGGCCTTTGTGATAACTTCCTGATGGGTTGCTGAAGATCCCATGAGTGGGGCCTTGAGGATACCTCTCAGCCTTATTTTCCCTCTAGAAGAGAGCATAGACTTAAGTGGTTGATGAGGTCTCTCCCAGCATGAGCATCTGGTCACCATCAGGATGTACACACACATGACTACCAGGTATGGGAAGGTAACTCAGAAAAACAAATGCTCTGGTCTATTCAGAACATACTAGGAACTTCTTTCCAAAGACAGGTTGTGGTACATAGTGGATATTTTGATTAAGGATATTAGTTTCTCTGAAGCTTTAGCTGAAAGTACAGCAATAGTTTGGTGTCCCACAAATATCACAATGTAGACAATTATTTTTCTATAAAAATCGTTTTTTTATGAAAGCTGTGTTTTTATGCAACTTGTGATAATAAATCTTCTCTATTTTAGAATAAAACTAGCCTTTTCCTGTTTGTGACCCAATTCGACAGCCGTACTACCTTGAATGTTCCTGATCAAACTTGCTGCATCTAGAGAGGAATAGGCTGTGTCCGGTCCCAGACTGAATAAGGATGGGAAGGGGGAGAAAGGTTGAGTTGTCAGCATAGCTTTGCTTCCATAGTATGGACATAATGTGACTACTGCCCCATTCCCACCAGTCTTTCCTGCCATGAACAGCGTACCTGTCCTTACATTGCTTAGCTGGAGTATTTTTTCTGAGCAACAAGAAAAAAAGTTAATACACACCGTTAATTTGTCATTATATATTATATATTACATATCAGTAATAGAAATTGAATTGCTAAAAAAAAACAAAAAAACAGGAGAAATTGGCCCTAAATGGATGGTTATTCAGGAAAATACTCTTCTGGGTGCAACTAGCCTTCCATGAGCTATGGTATCATGGGCAAGCTTTTGTCTAATGAACACGGATGTAAAAATCAATGAATTTATAGCACTTATGGTAGGCAAATAGGGAAATGTATTTACTGGAGTCAGTCAGATGCATACGTTTCCATTTCTTCAAGTGCTCCTGGCTTTAAATCTAACCCACCAGCATTTAGTTGTGACTCAAGTTAATCTTGAGAATTTATAGAACTGTGTCATGCTAAAAACAAATAGGCTGATTCTTCTGAGTGCAAGTCTGAGTTCAATTATATTTATCCAAAAGCATTTATTTTCTTAATATTAAATTAGTTCCAGTAGTACAAATGTTTTTTAGAAGATTTTGAAAAAAATTTTCTTTCTCCCCAAGTTGTATAAAAGCACTGACTTCTCTCCTGATCAGGAAATCATCTCTAGACAAGAAAAGCCTGAGAGAATCTTAAACACATGGGCATAATTCCTTTAAGGGGTTAAGCATTCTATTCAAGTCAAGTCCTCACACTTGTGACTGGACACACTATCACATGGCACAGGTGTGGTGGCAAATGCCTTTTACTCAAGCACTTGGGAGGCAGGTATGTGAGTTCAAGGCCAGCCAGAGTAACAGAGTAAGACCCTGTTTGAAAAAAGAAAGAAAGAAAGAAAAGAAAGAAACCCCACCACACCATCACAGGCAGGGGTGCTCAAAATTTTTAATAAAACTGCTTTCCAGATAAGCTGATGGAATACTGGAGACCAGAACTTTAGTATGTTTTAGATTCAGTACTAATGAAAACATCTTGAGTTCTGAGGTCTACATAAACTAAATGTTAAGACTCCACCTCGCTCTACCCTAAGCCAGTACTTTGCAAGAACTTGGACAGCCAAGATGGGCATGCTCTTACCTGGCAACTGCTTTTCTAATACTTTCTGTTCAGCTTGGTTTGAGCATTTTATCTTCAGTGCTTTAAGGAAAAAGGGAAAAAAAAAATTACTAACCACCAAAGCAGGGATTGACAGCATGCATGCATGTAGAACTGGGACTGTGCCTCTGAGGTAGAGCACGTATTTTGTATACACAAGGCCTCAGTTTGATTACTAGCACCAATAAGGAAAAACATGCAGGCCAAGAGATTGCCAGATAATGTAGCAGTTTGGCACAACTTGGCTCAATCCTCATAAATGGGCCTTAATAATGATGTTAAAAATTTCTATTAATATTTCCATAAAGCTAGGTGTAATGGTGCACACCTGTAATTCCAGGCTATAAACCCATCTTGAGAGGCTGTAGTAGGATTGTCACAAATTCAAGTCCAGCCTAGACAACACATGCCAACTATGAGACCTTGTCTCAAAACAAAAAAATCAAAAAGATATCATGGTCCCAGAACTAGGGAAGGTACAGCGGAGGCTAATGAGTACAAGGCAGCCTGGATTTATATAACAAGATCATGTCTCACAGCTGACCCAGAATTCTATCACCTTTTCCTTCCCTCCATACTACTTCCTGACAGTTTAGCTAGGGTTCTGCATATAGGACACAGTGCAGGATTCCACATTACCGTGTGGTTTACTGCTCCACTCTCTCCTACACCTAGAAGGCTATTCAGAGAGTCAACAGCATGGGGGCTGTCAGAATGCCCAACACAAACTGATTGAGTGTGGGATCATTACTCGCTAAGACAGTGGTTCTCAATTGGGGTGTGTGTGTTGTCTTGAATGATCCTTTCACATGGGGTCACCTAAAACCATCACAAAACAGTTACTAACATTATGATTTATAACAGTAACAAAATTACAGTTATGAAGTAGCAGTGAAAATAATTTTATGGTTGGGGGTCACCATAACTGTATTAACAGGTTGCAGCATTAGGCAGGTTGAGAACCACTGCCCTAGGAGAAACACGCTTCATCCCTATCAAACAAGTCATCACCGCTTGCTTCATACCCAAGATCCCAGTACAAAGCATGTATATGAAAGGATTCTTACTTAGTAGCTGATTTTTGAGCATGAATGGCTGCTGTGTTTTGAGTTCCTCATCTTCAGGTGCACCATATTCTGTTTAAGAAATAAAAAGGGATGAACAAGAAGCTAGAGGCCACAGTAAGGAAACAATGTTAGTGTGAACAGAGCCTCTCCCAGGATCAACCCAGCATCACTGATCAGTTAGCCTAGGATTAGCCTCTTCCTGCAGAACTAACTGCTTGTTGGGTGGTTAGGAGAGGTAAACAATAACTACTCCCAAGGAAGATCATCTCTATGGCTCTATGTTCCATGCTTGTTCTAACAGTAGCCTGACTAAGCTCCCCATGCTTTCAAAACCTTCCAACTTTTAACTTGGTTTCAGTTTTGAAAATGCTCTTCCCTTCAGGGTCCTAAGAGGAACTAGGTATGATCTGGACAGAGGTCATAGGACCCCATCAGGTTTTAGCCAGTCAAGTGTTTAGTGCTGCTGCAGACCAATTCCTTCCTGCAACACAGGCAGCAGCTTTCCTTATCTGTGGGGCCATATCCTAGGACCTCAGTGGAAAGCTGAACTTAATAGCAAAGACCTTTTTCTAGGTCTTTAAGTACCACATACTTATCATCCTAAATTAGACACG